CCAATCATGTTTTAAAACAAAGCCAATACATTCGTTTAAGAAAAGTATTTAGTTTTTTTTCTGCAGAGGTTGTTCAATAATTTGCTTTTCTCTACCTTCTTTTCTCCCCAGAAAAAGAAATAGAGTGAAACGGAATGTTTTTCTAACTTTTACTTGTTTTTAATAGTACAACATTTCAGTTGTCTCACAGAACAGTATTAGAAAGATAGCGGGAGAATAGGAATAGGAATAGGAATAGAATAGAATAGAATAGAATAGAATAGAATAGAATAGAATAGAAGAAATAGAATAGAATTAGAATAGAATAGAATAGAATAGAATAGAATAGAATAGAATAGAATAACAGAGTTGGAAGGGACCTTGGAGGTCTTCTAGTCCAACCCCCTGCTTAGGCAGGAAACCTTACACCACTTCAGACAAATGGTTACCCAACATCTTCTTAAAAATTTCCAGTGTTGGAGCATTCACAGCTTCTGGAGGCAAGTTGTTCCACTGATTAATTGTTCTAACTGTCAGGAAATTTCTCCTTAGGAATGGAATGGAATGGAATGGAATGGAATGGAATGGAATGGAATGGAATGGAATAGAATGGAATAGAATAGAATAGAATAGAATAGAATAGAATAGAATAGAATAGAATAGAATAGAATAGAATAGAATAGAATAGAATACACCAACTTAACAGGGCACTGGGTAAAACCAGTGGTGAGATTCAGCCGATTTGAGCCGGTTTGGGCAAACCAGTAGTTAAATTGCAGGCTGGTTCCTCCCCTCCCTGCTCTGCCCCTTGCAGGAGTCCACATGCATCTCATTTTATTTATTAATTCAATTCAATTATTTATTAATTCAATTTTTGAATTAATTTTGCCTCCCAGGTAAGTGCAGGGAGACCTCAAAGGTCCAAAATGGGGTGTAGGGGGTGCAGCGTGCCCCCCATGGCCTGTTTTCACTCCCAGGAGGCTTCAGGGAGGCCTACTAGGCCCAAAATGGGGCGTAGGGGGGTGGCGTGGCCCCCCGCGGCCCATTTTTGCTCCCTGCAGGGGGGTGCAGGAGGCCGCGTCCTGCCTGTCACACCCTCTGGCCACGCCCACCATGGCCATGCCCAGCCTGCCGGTCATTAGGGCAGAGAACCGGTTGTTAAATTTTTTTAATCCCACCACTGGGTAAAACCATTAATATTGTGGTGAAAGAACAGGTTGACACTTATAGACTGATCTATAGAGGCCTTCATCTTCAACCATCCAGCCCATAATGATTACCATTATCCCTGAGCCAGTTGCTTTGAAGGCAGGTGCATTCTACAGCCTAGCTCATTTGTTCAGGAGTCCTGAAAGTATTGATTTTGTAGAAATGTGCCTGTGCAACCCTCCTAACTCCCTTTTGCTAACTTTGCTGAAATTAGTTGAGTTTGACACAGAGTTAATAAACACTTGGCCTAAGCAGGAAGCACCAAAATGCACCTTGAAGTTTGCGTCCTGGCTGCCTTGATAAACTTCTTTATTTACCAAATTTCAAGGCTGCGTCAATCTTCTAAGAGCTTTTAACTAGTATAATAAATCAACTGTAATAGAGTAACAACCAATAGGTATTCAACTACTCAGTGGTGGGTTGCCCCCGGTTCAGACCGGTTCAGAAGAACCGGTAGTAAAACCAGCGGGAGGCTCCCGCCCACCGACCCCAATGTCATCAGGAAGCATCTGCGCATGCGCACATGGCCCCATTGTGAACCAGTAGTAAAGATAAGTAGAACCCACACCTGGAACCACCCAGTTAGTGACCAGTATCCAAAATAGTCACCATGTAATACAGCATCTCTCATAAAAAACTCATCAGATCATTCACCCTAAATGCCATCACAACAATGACATTCATTTGCTCAACTTAGTAAAAAAGCAGTATTGTAACTAAAATAACTAAAGTAGAATTCAGCCATCTTTAAAATAATGGTTATAAAGGAATAAAACACTTACCCCATTTTATTCTGGGTTATCAAGTAAACTGTTCTAGAAGGTATTGTTGTCATTTTAAAAAAGTCATTTTTATGTGTGGTGGGGGAATCAAAAAAAGTTATCAATCAATCAAATCTTTATTTGGTCATAGACCAGCATGTAGAATACAGAAATCACAGAGTCAAGCGTGGGAAATCAGGAAATCCAGGCAGTTCAAATGAATATCAGAGTTTATTGCAAGCTTAAGCCATTTAGAAGAATCCGAACTACTAACGGTCAAAGCAAGTTGGCAGTAGATAAGAATGGAATTCAAGGTGGGCTAGACTTAGAACTCTTGTGTGTGAATTATCAATTATCAAGTTATCATATTATGTCAAGTTAGAGCCATGGTGGTGCAGTGGTTAGAATGCAGTATTGCAGGCGAACTCTGCCCACTGCCAGGAGTTCGATCTTGACTGGTTCAAGGTTGATTCAGCCTTCTGTCCTTTTGAGGTCAGTAAAATGAGGACCCAGATTGTTGGGATCAGTGTTATGACTCTGTAAACTGCTTAGAGAGAGCACTGTAAAGCACTGTGAAGTGATATACACTGCAAGTCTAAGTGCTATTGCTATCAATCAATCAAATATTTATTCGATCATAGGCCAATATGGAGAATGCAGAAATCACTATAGAGTCAAGCGTGGGAAATCAGGAACTCCAGGCAGTTCAAATGAATATGAGGGTTTATTGCAAGCTTAAACAACAAGAATCTGAACTACTAACAGTGAAAACAAATTTGGCGGTAGATAAGAATCAATGGGATTCAAGATGGGTTGGACTTAGGTTTCTTGTGGGCGTGAAGGGACTCGAGACTGATGACATATTTGACTCTTCCCTTGGGCTCAGCCTAGTTAATTAAAATAAAATACAAAAGAAAAGAAATGTGTGTGTGTGTGTGCACATACATACATACACACTAAAATATCTAAGAGTGGTTAGAGTTAATCCTACACCATGTAGTGCAGACTGCTGAGCAGTACTTGGCTGTAGACAGAGAGATGGAGTCAGATTGAGCTTCAGATAAAATGAATTAGAATGACCAAGGTTTTTAATAGAAAGTGAAAATAATAAGTCCTGGCATGCTCCTGCATAGAAAGGACAATAAAGTATAGCATGTTCTGTTGATTCAATTTGTTCTTCTGTTTAGTTAGAAGTTAGGAAGGGCACCTGGCATAGCGTGAGTGCACGACAAATCAATAGATATTTGTAGAGAAAGAAGAAGAAAAAATCTAGAATTTTTTTTTTTTTTAAATGGTGGGGATAAAAGCACTCCCAAAGCAGTAGACTTATTTCTGGATGTTTTCTGAAGAAGATAAATGATCTAGTGTAAATATATGGGTATATTTGTGTTGCTGTGTTCTTTTTATGGCTAGCTATGTTAGATTTCTTTTAAAATATGAGACTTTTTTGCATCTTTAAATATCATTCAACGGCGAGGAAGGAGAGAGAGGGAAGGAAGAAAAGGAAAAGGAGAGGAAGAAAGAAGGGAAACAAGAGTAGGAGAGATGGTTAGAAGGGAGGAAGAAGGGAGGTGTGGGGGAAAGGAAGGGGAAGGAGAGAAGGAAAAGGGGAGGAGGAAAGAAGAAAGTAGAAGAGTAGATGGAAGAAGGGAGAGAAAGGAAAGAGGAGAGGGAGAAGGATTGTTGTAAAACAAGGGAGATGAAATGGTAGAAGAGCAACCCCAAATATAATTAAATTGTTTAGGATGAAGATTGTATTAGTATGAAAGTTAAAAGAAAATATGTATGTTAGATAAGAAATTGTACATTTGGGATATGTTTATGAGAAAAAAAATAAACTTTTTTTTTTTAAAAAAATATATCATTCAACCACTGTGTGTTAGCTGTTTTCCATATCAGGTAAATTTACTAATGGCTTACCTGTTAATGCTTTAATTTCTACAGTCCCTTAATTTCTGTACTAAATTGTTCTCATCAGCTGGCTCCATCAGTAAAAGAAATAAGTTTAAATAGAGACAAAGAGAAAATTAGTACATCCGTTTGATGGGAGCAGGGAGTATTACAGGAACAGTGTCTGAAGGAACAGATTTTCAGAAAAGAGTGAGAATGAAACAATTGGTTTTTATTTATTTATTTTTTTTAAAAAAATACCAATTCAGAGAATATTATCTGAAATCGCAGTGAGGTGACAGTGAGCTTTTGTAAGATAGGTATTTGAAAATTAGGGAGAACCTGGAACAAATTTTGATTTGTTTTAAATATACTTTATGCATGCATTAAGCTCTATAAAAAGGCAAACGTTTTTAAATTGTGTTCTCTTTTTAAGTTTCTGATAACAGTGTATGAGCCGAAACTGCTGAATCCTCTAAATATTGTAGCAGTTGTTAAACTAAATGTGTTTCAGCAATTTTTGGCAGTCAGTTCTCAGCCTTTGAATTAGCTTGTATAAAAAGAGAGGTTGAGATCAGACAATATCTAGGCTCAGATCAGACAGATCTAAGCTTAATGTACTGTTTAAAAATTGAATTGCAACCATCTGTATTAACGTCGCAGTACTAAGAGTTTAAAAATGCAGAATGCTCGTATAGTTTTGAAATTTCAGCAGCTTGGCACGTCCATTGATGTGTTTTCCATAATATATAAAATTACAGATGCCAATCTGGATAGGAATTATGAATGTTGTATTCTGGGACTCACCAAAACTAAATGGACAGAGCCTTGATTGTAGCCACCATATTATCTTTTGGATGTCATGCCCTCTAGACCAAGGGTCTCCAACCTTGGCAACTTTTTCCTGGGAAAGCAAAGCTGGCTGAGGAATTCTGGGAGTTGAAGTCCACAAGTCTTAAAGTTGCGAAGCTTGGAGACCCCTGCTCTAGACGTCCCTTCCAAGAGCATTGGTGTTTGGGGAAGGTAAATATGGAGATGGTAGAGTGTCAGAAGCAGGGAGATCTTTAGTGGAGAATTTGTTGAATACGGCCTGTACGATTAAACACGTTAAAGAATGGCCACTTTTTTTTGAACCGTTGGTGAACTCTTTTCGTTCATTAGGGATAGAATCGGGATCACATTGTCATCGAAAACTCCAATCAAAGAAACAAAAGACAGCAACACAAAACCACAATTCTTACTGTAAGTTTTGGTTTATTTCATGAGCAATTTGAAAAAAGAACAGCAGAGGTGGTATTCACTTACTTTTCCTACCGGTTCGCAAATGTCCACGCATGCGCCCAGCCTTCCGCGTATGTGCTTTGCTGGCCCGCGTGCCTTCCACGCATGCGCCGGGCCTCAAAAATGTGCCTAAATAGGATGGCATAGAGCCAGGGTGGGTGGACAGGCCCATCGGTGATTTCCGCTACCATGTCGGGCGAACCGGTCTGAACCGGGTGAATACCACCTCTGATGAGCAGCCATCATAACAATACATATCTTAGCTAAAAGGGCGCTTTTGAATGGCTGTCCAGAAGTCTCCACAAGTCATTTTGGCTCCCAGGCAAGTGCAGGGAGGCCTCTTAGACCCAAAATGGGGGGAGGGGGTTTGCGGCACGACCCCACCCGCAGCCCGTTTTTGTTCCCAAGGGAGTGCAGGAGGCCGAGTGCTGCCTGTTACACCCCATGGACATGCCCACCATGGCCACGCCCACCCAGACGGTCATAAAGCAGAGAACTGGTTGTTAAGTTATTTGAATCCCATCACTGGATAGTTGTACATGTTGTGGCTCATACTAGAGCACAATACATGCATGGAGATAGAGATTAGAGAGAGAAAGAGAGCAACATTGCAAAGAAATGAGACATCGCTTTCTCATTATTCTAATTCTTTACACTGATTGGACACCCAACTCTGGTGGACTTATTGCCAGTTACCAATTATCCCTTATGACTTTTGCATTGATTTCAGGGTTTCTAGCAGACTTTTCACTACTTCTTTGTGATTTTTAATTAATCCTAATTCTTCTCCCCTGGAATAGGAAGATCTGTCTGTAGGATGCATCTCTACCCACTTAATGGGAGGGAGGAGAAAGGAGGGAGGGAGGGGAAGGAGGGACAAAGGGGAAGGAAGGGAGGAAGGGAAAGAAAGGAAGAGGAAGGAAGAGAGGAAAAGAAAGGAAGGAAAGAAAGAGGGGGGGAGGGGAAGGAAGGGACAAAGGCATGGAGGGAAAGAAAGGAAGAGGAAGGAAGAAAGGGGAAGAAAGGAAGAGGAAGGGGGAGGAAGAAAGGGTGGGAAGGAGGAGGAGGGGAGGGGACGGCGGAGGTAGGGATAGAGGGACAAATGGGAAGGAAGGGAGAGACAAAGGGATAGAGGGAAAGAAAGGAAGAGGAAGGAAGGGAGGGGAAGAAAGGAAGAGGAAGGAAAGAAGGGAGGGGAAGAGGGAGGGAGGGGAAGGAAGGAAGAGGAAGGAACGAATGAGGAGAGGGGAAGGGAGGGAGGGAGAAAGGGATGGAGGGGAAGGGAGGGGGAGGGGGAGGGAGGGATAGAGGGACAAATGGGAAGGAAGGGAGAGACAAAAGGATAGAGGGAAAGAAAGGAAGAGGAAGGAAGGGAGGGGAAGAAAGGAAGAGGAAGGAAAGAAGGGAGGGGAAGAGGGAGGGAGGGGAAGGAAGGAAGAGGAAGGAACGAATGAGGAGAGGGGAAGGGAGGGAGGGAGAAAGGGATGGAGGGGAAGAAAGGAAGAGGAAAGAAGAGAGGGGAAGAAAGGAAGGAAGGAAAGAAGGAAAGGCCTATGAAATAGAACAAAACGTTTCCATACTCCAGGCAGCTTTTACATCTCATGACTTAGCGTGTTTCTGATGCTGTAATGAAATATTGTTTTCCTAATATTCTGTGACCTGAATTTTTTCTTGCTTTATGGGTGCAAATCAGTATTTTCTCTAGTCAGCATTTGGTGATGGATGTCAAAATACAGGCCATGTATAATGCATATCTAGCATTAGCGATTTAAGGTGTTTACTTGTCAAGCCGAAGGAATTCAAAAACTTCACATTCACTGAATTCACCCAGCTGTCACTTGCAGTTTTTCATAATTTCAAATGAAAGTTGTGATAAAACAGTTTAGGTTGCCTTGACTTTTTCTTTCTTTCTTTTTTTTTTTTCTGAAGGAAGAAAACAGACAGCATCTAAAATTTATGCTGCAAGCTGAAAGGCAGGCAACAAAGAGGAATTTTCTGAAAGTTGGGGAGAAAAAAGCACCTTTCTGGCTTTCTTTGACCTCCTGCTTTTTAGAAAAGTTGAAACAATAATACTTTGCAATTATATGCCTCTTTGTATAAAAGAACCAATTTTGTAAAAAAAAGAGTGCCGCTGATTCCCATAGAGTAATATGTAAACTTATAGATATGGCACAGTATAATGGAATTTTATTTGCTCCTTTCGAACCCAATTAAAATTATTAGCTCTAGCTCTAATCGCATAGTTTCGATGGCCAGGTCGCAATATTTCATGATTTTTTTCCCAGTTTTTTCTTCGCCTCTGGCGTCTCCTGGTACTGCGATATCAATAAATTGTACGTTTTGGTTTTTGACAACTGTGATATCTGGTGTGTTGTTGTTGTTGTTGTTGTTATTATTTACTTTATTCATTAAGCATAAAACTAAGTCAACTGAACATTCAAAAATGCATCACAAATACTATTGACTGGTGCTAATGGTTGATACGGGTTGCTGCCAGCATCCTAGATATCAACCAAGTACCAAGAATAATAATAATAATTATTAATTATTAGATGTGCTATTATTATTATTATTATTAATAATAATAATAGTACATCTTAAGAAGGTACTTGGTTGATACCTAGGACGCTGGCAGCAACCCGTATCAACCATTAGCACCAGTCAATGGTATTTGTGATGCATTTTTGAATGTTCAGTTGACTGAGTTTCATGTTTAACGAATAAAGTTGTTGTTGTTGTTGTTGTTGTTGTTATTATTATTTATATTGATGGGTAACCAGTCACCATTTTCCCAAGCCTGAAGATTTTCCTTCAATGAAAGTATTAAAAGATGTGATTCCAGCTTTCCAAATGATTCTCTTAAGCAAAATCATTTGGAATTTTCTAGTGGAAGGTTGAATTGGAAGTACATCATGGAAACTCCAAAGTAACATAGTCAAATAGACCTATGGGATAATTAGGCCAACAGACATCCTTTTTGGTGTTCCTTTGATTCAGCCCAAAACAGGATTAAATTAACTTCCCAATCAAATCAACTTTCGGTGACACAAACTCCTTACTAATTACTATTTCTGATAACCATGATTAATACAAGGTTTATACTGCACAGAGAGCAACTAGCTAAGTGGGGAATTAGTTTAACCCTAGATGGCAGCACTTGCCCAATCTTGGCTTATCTTAAACAGCTAACTGAGGTCAGACCTGGTTAATATTTGGATAAGTTGTAAAGTTGTGAAGTGGAAGAAGCATCTTGGGGGAAAAAAAAAACCGCAATTCCTTCCAATGGGGAAATAGAGGCACAACACCTTTCTAAAGATATCTTTCATCAGTATTTTCATCTTGTTTGGATTGGCTTCTTGACTGCATATAGTTTATATAAGTAAGAGTTTATATCAATGATGGAGAACCTGTTAGACACTAAGTGCCCAAACTGCATGCACAGCACAGACTATACAATACCAAAATCTATACTTTGAGGAACCCTGCCTTGAAGTTTTGATTTCATATGGGCTGCTACTTGGAACCCTGACAATTAGAGGTAAACAGGACAGGGGGATGCAAGTTGATAGCAAATGGCTCAGGTTCACCCTTGTCCCAGATCATCTCGACCTTATTTCTTCTTGTCCACAGGCCCACTAAGACCATCTCAATACAGCTGCTTCCTAGTCAAATATTTCTGTAATTAAGAGTTACGAGTCCTAGTATAACATCTCAAATTCTTTGGTCTCTACAGGGTTTTCACCACCTGGAATGGACAGGTCATCGCCTGACAAGAGTCCAGTGCATGGCCTTCTCCGTCAGCCCTCCATTACAACGGGGATCGATATCCCTATTATTACGGAGTTAGGTAAGCTCTCTGGGGATCTTTTTAACCTGTTGTCTTTTCATTTTTCTCAGCCTAAGGAGTGCCTTATGTAAGGAAAGGTGTAGCATTTTCTCCTGAAGGTTGTACAGTATGGGTGTGTATATCGACAGAATGCCGACATAGACATAGAGCCAATGATGTCGTTGCTAAAATGCTGGATTAACAGCAGGAAGACCCTTTCAGTGTTCTTTAAGCATGGAAACCAACTGGAACAGTTGTTCTCTCTCAGTGCAACAACACAACTGTTGATGTGTAATGGTTAAAGAGATGGACCAAGAAGTTCTAGTGTTCCCTTGAGGTGTGGAAGGCAACTGGAAGAGTTGGGCCAGTCATGCTCTCTCTAGAAATCAAAAGAGTCTATCTCTCACTAGACTAGATAGGATAGTCTATAACGGTGATGGCAAACCTTTTCGGCACCGAGTGCCAAAAAGGGAGCTCGCACGTGCGCTCATCGGGGGACACAACCCAGGAGAGGAGCTGCCCAGTGCACATGCCAGTGCGCGTATGCACACCAGGCAGCTCCTCTTCCAGTTTATGGCACACACAATCAGCTGGCTGGCACGCACGCGCACACAGAAACTGGAAGACCAGCTCTTCCAGTTTCCGGCACTGCTGCGCGCACAAAGGCCAGCTGATCATCATGTGCACATGTGCCCCAGAAACCCGGAAGAGCAACGGGCGAGGCCACATGAGCCAGACGACATGGCTCTGTGTGCCATTTTGGGCACACGTGCCATAGTTCGCCATCACGGATCTATAACCTTCACGAAGACACCTTCTGCAGTTAATTGATGATGATGATGATGATGATGATGATGATGATGATGATGATGATACACATGCATACACACAGAGGTGTGCACATGTCCACACAATGATTAAGCAAGTTCCTTTGCTTAAGGAAAGGACCACCTTTGGTGGGAAGGTAATAGCGTTCAGTGCGCCTTTGGCGTTTAGTCAGCCACATGACCACGGAGACGTCTTCGGACAGTGCTGGGTCTTCGGCTTTGAAACAGAGATGAGCACTGCCCCCTAAAGTCAGGAACGATTAGCACATATGTGCGGGGAACCTTTACCTTTACCTTTACTATAAATTTGAGCAGGACCCTCCGAATATTCTGTTCTGAGTCAGATTCAATTTGAGGGACTAAGGGGGCCAGACCCGCTTCAAGGGCTAGTGATACTTTGATACCCAGCTGCCTTCCTCCCTGCATGTTGGAAGCCAAGGAGATCTCCTTCGTCCATCTCTTATGTTCTCAAATAAATTAACCATTTCTGCGGCAGCATTGAGAATGCTGCCCCTTCACTCATCCTCATTTTTTTTTCCCTGTGTGAATTCTGCAAGGCCTCTTCTTGCTTCTCGATCGTAAAGGCAAGCTTGATTTGTGATCCTTCTGTCCATTTATTGCCTCCATTTTGGTTTTCAGCTTTATTTGTCTCACACCCTCATTGTATTTTCTGTCTGTGCCTTCTCCTTCCCCCCTCCCCCTCCTCAAAACCTACTAGCTAAACCTGGCAAACTTCTGCCTTTGGTTTCAAACAGTCAGGAAAAAAACAGTGGAGTTCAGATTCTAATGATAACCGAATTGGGTAAGAAAGCGCCTTTCCTTTTGGACGTCAGCTGCTTGTTGCTCCGCTGTTGTTTCTGCTCTCAGCTTTCTTCTTCCTTCATCTGGCTGCATCGGAGAGTTGCCTCCTCAGCGCTACTTTGAATGTGTTTTATTTGTGATTCCAGTTGAAACGGACTGTCTTGTTCTGCCTTCTCTTAATGATTTTTCTTTTTCTCTACATACATACAGCATTGGTACATCTTTGATCACATTCATCTGGCCTGCTGGCTGTTTATATAGCATCTGCACATTAATTCATTTTCCTCCTCCTCCTCCTCCTCCTCCTCCTCCTCCTCCTCCTCCTCCTCCTCCTCCCTGCCCCATCCTCCTCCTTCTTCCTCTTTTCTTCCTCCTCCCTGTCCCCTCCTCTTCCTCCTTTCTTTCTCCTCCTCTTCCTTCTCACCCTCATCTTCTTCCTCCTCCTCCTCCATTTGACAGACACATTTTAACAGTTCTCAGACATATAAAAGAAAGAAAAAGAAAGAAAAAGAAATAAAGAAATAAACTTCCCTTAAGACACTGATTAGTTTGTGAGAACAATTTTTCATTCAGAGCTTCCATGTTGAATGTCCTAAAAACCACTGTGCTTCTAAGCATTTTTTCCCCTCTTTTATCCAAGGGTGATTTTTGATGATCAAGTTCTGGGATGAAGCTCTGAATGTATGAACTGATTTTGCTGGGTCACTTCAGACTAACAAGTTTCTTTAGTCAGTTCCGTAGAATTTCAATTGGGTTAAGGTCTGGGCTATTCCCAAGCCATTCCAGCAGTGCAATATTATTATCTTGAAACTCCAAAAAAAGTGGTGTTATTAGCCATCAAACCTCAAAAATACACTTTTCCCAAAAGGCTTCCACAATTTTGGCCACTACTATACATAGATGTCTTTTTGAAAATGTAGAAACGTGAACTTGGAGGAGGAAAGACCTCAAGCCCAAAAACTTCAACCTTCTTTCAATGGTCCGAGGATAAAACAGGGCCTCATCTCTTTAATCCATATATTGAATTTGACTCTCCTATTTACGTTACTTGTTGATATATGCATAGACCATCCATTCTGTCACATGTGCATATGCCAGTGTTCTCCAGATATGCATGTATTCATTATTCTGTCCTTATTAGCTATTAATCCCTGCATAACACGCATATGTGTCTCCCTTGCCACCTTGCAATAGAGAAAGCAAAATAAGAAGCAAATAGAAGGAGAGAAGGGATAAGACTGGAGATGAGGGTTTAGCTTGACAAAAGATAGCTGAGACGGATGTGATAATACCCTGAGCATATATATAATATACAGTATGATACAACCCCAGCATGTAGGAGATCAAGACCTCTTCTGTCAGCATGGAAAGCTTGAAATAATGGCAGAAAGATTTATTCCAGTTGAATGCGAGGGGAGAAATCCATAACCACAAGAGCAGTTTGACAGTAGAACCAATTTCTCAGAAAGGTGATGGGGTCCCCTTTTCAGGTGCGTGCAAGTAATAGCCATTTGTCAGAGTCCTACGGTGTAAAAAATTGGAGTCCTTCACTGTTCCTTCCAATGGCCTGTCTGGTCCCTTCCAAATGGGTCATGTTATGAAAAGGAGCAGGTTGATGCAGATGGAGGAGAATGGGAGAGAAAAGGAAGGGGAAGGGAGGGGAGGGGGAGGGAGGGAGATACGATAGAAGGAAAAGGAAAGGAAAGGAGATACAATGGAAAGAAGAGGGAGAAAAGGGAACGGGTGAAAAGAGAAGAGAAGGGAGATATGATGGAAGGAAGGGGGAGGGAAGGAAAGGGACGGGATATACGATGGAAGAAAGTGGGAGGAAGAGAAGGAAAGGAAAGAATGATTCGAGGTGGCGCAGTGGTTAGAGTGCAGTACTGCAGACTACTTCAGCTGACTGTTAGCTGCAGTTCGGCAGTTCAAATCTCACCAGGCTCAAGGTTGACTCAGCCTTCCATCCTTCCAAGGTGGGTAAAATGAGGACCCAGATTGTTGGGGGCAATAGGCTGACTCTATAAACCACTTAGAGAAGGCTGTAAAAGCACTATGAAGCGGTATATAAGTCTAAGTGCTATTGCTATTGCTATGATGAAGGAAAGAACAATGGAAGGAAGGGTAAAGTAAAGTAAAGGACGGGACAGGACAGGACGGGACGGGACGGGACGGGACGGGACGGGACGGGACGGGACAGGAAAGGAAAGGAAAGGAAGTAAATGGATAAAGAAGGGAAGTGAAGGAAGTAGATGGATAAAGAAGGGAAGGGAAGTGACGTGAAGGGAAGGGAAGGGAAGGGAAGGGAAGGGAAGGGAAGGGAAGGGAAGGGAAGAACAATGGAAGGAAGGGGAAAATAAAGTAAAGTAAAGTACAGGACGAAAAAGGAAAGGAAAGGAAAAGAAAGGAAGGAAAGGAAAGGAAAAGGAAGAAGAAGGGGAAGATAAGAGGAAGCAAAGGAAAGGAAAAAGCAAACAACCTGGAGACACAAGACAAGCAAGAGAGGGAAGGGAAGGGAAAAAAAGAGACATCTAGCATCTTCTACTTTGTCCCTCAAGTGTTCTTCAAAGGCATCCATACAATGTCTTGTGCAGCCATTTGTCTGTCTGCCCCCCACCCCCACCCCCATTCATTCAATGTGCCTTTATGGTCTCAGGGAAGGCAAATCCACTAGTAATTTTTAGGAAGCTTCCTAGTAGAACCTCTGGTCACGAACGCTTCTGACCACGACTAAATCTGGTTCCAACCAAAAAAGTCACATTTTTTTTCCCCGCGGCCGATTTCCCCTGGCGCACCTTTTTTTTTTTGTAAGCACCAAATTTCCAAAATTAGATTCGGGTCACGACCAAATCAGTTTGTGACCAAAGTTATGGAATGAATTATGGTCGTGACCAGAGATTCTACTGTATATGCATTTGCATTCGAGCCCAGGGTGTATTATGTGGGTTTTCCACAGGACCAGGTAAAACTGAAGCTGGTCTCATCTCTTGGCAATGTGGTTAGAGGCAGGTAGTCCTCGACTTACGACACCAACTGAGTCCCCAAGTTCTGTTGCTAAGCCAGACACTTGTTAAGTGACTTTTGCCCCTATTTTACGACCTTTTTCTTGCCATGTCTGTGATGTGAATCAGTGCAACTGTTTAAGTTAATATGAATCTGGCTCCCTAGTTGGCTTTGCTTGTTAGAAGGAGTATCACGTGACCCCCTCAAAACTGCAACCGTCACAAAGATGAATCAGCTGCCAAGCATCAAAGTTTGATCACGTGACCAGGGGGATGCTCCAATGGCTGTAAGGGTCAGAGGTCAATTTTTTCAGGGCTGTTGTAACTTTGAACGAACTATTGTGAGTCGAGAACTACCTGTACACATTCTGAATAATGCTAACAGAGCCCCCCGAGGGGTTCCAACTCTTTGCCTTCTATAAAGACGAACTAATTATTATTATTATTTCAAAATGCAGATTCCACACACATTTTAATTCCATTTTCAGCAACATGCAAGCATTCGAGATGCGTCTCTACCCAGGCACTGCGTTTCTTCTTCGTGTATATAGCATATAAAAATTATCTGCCGATATCCACTCTGGATAGAGATACGTTGTCGTTTTCTTTTCAGTAAACGATTCTAATGTTCAGTTCCTGGATCAAGACGACGATGACGATCCTGACACAGAACTCTATCTCACCCAGCCTTTCGCCTGTGGAACGGCCTTCGCGGTTAGCGTCCTGGATTCCCTCATGAGTGCGGTAAGCATCCATCTTTCCGTTGTTGTGTGGATCCTAAGAGTAAGGCTGTAGTTTCAGCTCTGGGTCTACATTCGCTCCGGAGTCAACCTAAAGGAGAACCCAAAGATGCAATTCAAAAGGCAACTGGACTTCCTTGGGTTGTTTTGTTTTTTCCCCTTGAAAATGTTCCGCTACTCATCCAAGGAGCTTCTTTATTTCTGACTGAATGGTGGGGAATAGAAGGATGAATACATGGACGGATGGATGGATGGATGGATGGATAGATAGATAGATAGATAGATAGATAGATAGATAGATACTGTAGATGGATGGATGGATGGATGGATGGATGGATGGATGGATGGATGGATGGATGGATGGATGGATGGATGGATGGATGGATGATAAGAAAGATATATAGATGATAGATGGATGGATGGATAGATAGATAAAATGGATAGATAGATAGATAGATAGATAGATAGATAGATAGATAGATAGTAGATAGATAGATAGATAGATAGATAGATAGATAGATACTGTAGATGGATGGATGGATGGATGATAAGATAGATAGATAGATGATAGATAGATGGATGGATAGATAGATAGATAAAATGGATGGATGGATAGATAGATAGATACTGTGGATGGATGGATGGATAGATGGAAAGGATGGATAGATAGATAGATAGATAGATAGATAGATAGATAGATAGATAGATAGATAGATAGATAGATAGATAGATAGATAGATAGATAGATAGATAGATACTATAGATGGATGGATGGATGGATGGATGGATGGGATGGATGGATAGACAGATGGATGATAAGATAGATAGATGATAGATGGATGGATGGATAGATAGATAAAATGATGGATGGATAGATAGATAGATAGATAGATAGATAGATAGATGATAGATAGATGGTAGGTAGGTAGGTAAGTAGATAGATAGATGATAGATGATGGATGGATAAATGATAGATGGTAGGTAGGTAGGTAGGTAGGTAAGTAGATTAGATAGATAGATAGATAGATAGATAGATAGATAGATAGATAGATACATACATACATACATACATACATACATACATACATACATACAGCTAGGTGATTGATAGATAGATGCATTTCAATCCAGAGATTCAGTATGATCTAGAAAATAGGAGGGATTATTTTCTATGGCATCTCCCCAGTTAAAGAGCGATGGTCATGCTTTATAATCCCATAATTCCATAGAGATTACAAAACATAATTTCTCTTATTGAGTTCCAGGAACAGTTGACTAAAGTGAAAATAAGTAAAACAGAAAATAAGCATGCAACTGAAATGAGAAGCAAAAGCAGGGAATGGAGAATAGCTAGGATTTCAAGAGAAAGAGGGGATAGGAGGAGACAGAAGCACAGAAGACCATCCATAGAATAATATAAGCAAGGAGAGGTTGCATTGCTAGGACTATAATCTAGAGGAAGAAGGTCTTGTTTGCATTAAACTATCAAATGTCACAGAAGGTAATTCTTCCTTGAGAATCCTTGAAATGCCTTGAAATGTAGATATATATTTTTTTTTGCAGTCAAAAGCATCAATCAATTAACATATTTTTTAAAATATTAGTTGACAGGCTCCATAAAAAGACAAGACTTATATCGCTGTTCCCTGCTGTTGTGATAGATTACCATCTGATAAACCACTCTCGGACTTATTTATGGCAATATAATAAAATACATGCTAAATTGGTGTGGCAGATTTATATGTTATAAAGGATCATTTTTCTGGTTCTGTTGAGAAATCTGTTTTTGGGATGTCACCGAGGTTGGAATAATGACCTTAGTTCTGGAGTCTCAGCATGCAGAGATCCATTCTTTCTACTGAACTTCATAAAGGCCATTCCTGGTCACAAGACAGAAACTCCCCCATGAACAAGAGAAGCGGCTCCAACTTCTAATTTCAACTTTTCAGGTGGAGGAGTGTCCTTTCTTCCAGAAAGCAGCCTAGATCTGGATGGATAGCATGGATATAGATATTCCTTAACACCTTAATCATCTTCTCATTCATGTTTTGGAATCCCTTATTCTTTCTTCATTAGAGTCTTCTGTTATATTTATTACATCCTTGGCGGTTATTTGCACGTGGGATGTAGTGATCCTCTAGATGAGTGTAATCATCTTGGGGCAAAACCAAGGAGTATTCTTAAAGTTCAAGAGTTAAAAGTTAAAGAAAGATCCAACTAGAATTAAAGAGGAATTTCCTAGCAGTGAGAACAATCAGTTGGTGGAATGGCTTGACTTCAGAAATTGTGGATCCTCCATCACTGGAGGTTTTCAAGAAGAGACTGGACAGCCAACTTGTCCAGAATGATATAATGGGTCTCCTGCTTGAGCAGGGGATTGGACCAGTGGTGGGTTTCAAAATTTTTTAATATTGGTTCTGTGGGCGTGGCGTGGTGTGGCTTGGTGGGCGTGGCTTGTTGGGCATGGCAGGGGAAGGATACTGTAACATCTCCATTCACTCCCCACTCAAGGGGAAGGATACTGTAAACTCTCCATTCACTCCCCAATCCAGGGGAAGGATACTGCAAAATCCCCATTCCCTCCCGATCAGCTGGGACTCGGGAGGCAGAGAATAGATGGGGGTAGGGCCAGTCAGAATTTTTACTACCAGTTCTCCAAACTACTCAAAATTTCCACTACCATTTCTCCAGAACTGGTCAGAACCTGCTGAAACCCACCTCTGGATTGGACTAGAAGACCTCCAAGGTCCCTTCCAGCTCTATTCTGATTCTAAATCTCTGTAGAAAATTCCCCCAAACCCAGTGGTTGGCTGCTGCCGGTTCAGACCAGTTCGGGCGAACTGATAGTTCCAATGATCAGCTGGCTCCACCCACCCGCCCCCACCCTATCCTGTCCTATATTTCCTTCTTTCTGGCTCAGCTGATTCACACGGCACAGCTGATTTCTGCGCCTCCGCCATTCTACTTTTACTGTGGCTGCCTTAGAAGGTAAGCAGCTGAGCTTCAAATTGCTGTATTTTGAACGCTGCATGCAAGCGCGTTAGGCGAACCGCTCTCACAGAACTGGTTGTTAAACTGGTTGCAGCCCACCACTGCCCAAACCTGTCTTTTCAACGATTTCCAAAAGGAAATGTCACCTCCAAATAAATGGAACATCAGCGATTTGCCATTCCAGACCCAGAAGAGACAATTTGCAGTTCTAGATGTATCTTTATTTGATTACTGATTTTTAAAAAAACCACCAAATAATTCTCCCTCCCCCCCAAAAAATATTCTTTGTTGTATTTTATAAGACTTTCTCAAATGTCAGATGCTCATTTTTGTTCTTGTGACCCTTCGAGGCCCAGTTAATTGAGTCACCTCACTTGGGATCAAACCAGGGGTGAAATCCAGCAGGTTCTGACAGGTTCTGGAGAACCGGTAGCAGAAATTTTGAGCAGTTCAGAGAACCAGTAGCAGAAATTTTGAGTAGTTTGGAGAACCGGCAAATACCACCTCTGGCTGGTCCCAGAGTGGGGTGGGAATGGAGATTTTGCAGTATCTTTCTCCTGGAGTGCAGTGCGAATGGAGATTTTGCAATATCCTTTCCCTGCCATGTCCATCAAGCCACTCCCACCAAGCCACACCATGCCCACCAAGCCACGCCCACAGAACCTGTAGTAAAAAAAATTGGATTTCACCACTGGATCAAATTTTAAATCTTCCAACATTATAGAATAAACCCCTTCAAGCAGATAGATAATTATCTTCTCTATGCTAGTTTTTCCTTATATGTGTGAAGTATATTCCAGGCAATTACCATTTTGAAAATAGCAGTAGACTTCGCAGCTGCAGTGAGCTCAAGAGTGGGAATCAAATTCCTAAGAAAGTCCTTCTTGCCAGAACAATAAGGTGACTTTATTTTCTTGGAAAAAGGAACCTGGAAAAGGAGAAAGATGAAAAAGGGGCAAATCTGACTAAGGTTGATAAAGTTAATTTTTAAAAAATTGCTTGTTTGTAGCTTTGCTTTACAAAGAAAAATTCAAGAGCAAGACCAGGAAAATAGCATTAGCACTTAGACTTATATACTGCTTCATAGTGCTTTTACAGCCCTTTCTAAGCGGTTTACAGAGTCAGCATCTTGCCCCCAACAATCTGGGTCCTCATTTTACCGACTTCAGAAGGATGGAAGGCTGAGTCAACCTTGAGCCGGTTAGGATCAAACTCCTGGCAGTAGGCAGAGTCAGCCTGCAATCCTGCATTCTAACCACTGTGCCACCATGGCCCTTATAAATAAATATAAATACCGGTATATCAAGATCAATAGATCAATATCAATATAATAAATAAAATGAAATAAAATAAAATAAATCTAAAGGACAACTTTTTGAAATAAAGGACCAGCCTTTACAATAAAGGACATACGGTCACTGTACAGGGAGATCAGCAGGAGAAAAATAAAGCTAATAGCAATAACCCTTAGACTTATATACCACTTTACGGTGCTTTTTATAGCCTTTTCTAAGCAGTTTACAGAGTCAGCATATTTCCCCCAACAATCTGGGTCCTCATTTTACCAACCTCGGAAGGATGAAAGGCTGAGTCAACCTTGAGCCGGTCAGGATCGAACTGCTGGCTGTGGACAAAATTTGCCTGCAATGCTATATTTTAACCACCGTGCCACCGTGGCTTCTTAAAGCTAAGCAGAATTAATGATGGGGAATCAGGAGAAGTGGGGTTCTATTGGTGTGAAAGTAACCAACATTCCCAGGTGAAGAAACATCTAAATCAAAGCCTCAATAGATCAATGGCTAACCTTTTCTGTGTTGTTGTTCAACAAATCAACTGTGTGAACCTGGCTCAAACATCAGACAGGATTGGGTACTGTATGAAGAATCTTTTTCTGGTCAGGAGGGATTATTCTAATTTATGGGGATATTTTTACCATTAAGACCTGGAGTTGATGGTGTGGTCAGAACAAAACTTCAACAAAATCTGGTCACTGATGATGCCAGTAAATTACAATTGGCACACGCAACTGGAATTTAGAATGTCTAGAGAAAAGAAGGACCAGGGGGTAACATGATAGCAGTCATCCAGTATATTAAGGGGCTGCCACAAAGAAGAGGGGGTCAACTTATTATCCAAAGCACCAGAAGACAAGACAAGAAGCAATGGATGGAATCTAATCAAGGAGAGAAGCAACCTAGAATTAAAGAGAAGCTTCCTAACAGTGAAGACAATTAACCAGTGGAACAGCTTGCCTTCAGATGTTGGGGGTGCTCCATCACTGGACGTTTTTAAGGAAAGACTGGACAGCCATTTGTCTGGAATGGTATAGGGTCTCCTTCATGAGCAGACAGCTCGACTAGAAGACCCCCCAAGCTAATAATGAACACTTTTCACAACCTTGACATTCCTCATAGACTTAAAAACATTGTGATGTCCTCAGAATTTTCAACATATCAGAGCTTTGTAAAGGTATCAAGGAGAGATCCAATCTGGAATTAAGGGCAAACTTCCTAACAGTGAGGACAATTAACCGGTGGAAGGACTTGCCTTCAGAAGTTGTGGGTGCTCCATCACTGGAGTTTTTAAGAAGAGAGTGGACAGCCACTTGTCTGAGATGATAGAGTCTCCTGCTTGAGGAGGGGGTTGGACTACAAGACCTCTAAGGTCCCTTCCAGCTCTAAGCTGATTGAAGGTGAGAAGCATAAATCACGAACATCTGGAATGAGTGATTTGGGAATAAGTGAATTTGGTTGAGCTGGAATGGAGAACCATAACTCACCTGTTTGTTTGTTTGTTCAGTTTCTATAGCTGCCCAACTCAACCAAGTGACTCTGAATGGCCATACATTATATATTCAGGGCAGGCTATTATATAAAAGGAATGGTGCCACAATATCCTCAGAAGGAACATCTCTAAATAAGTGCTTGGATAGTAATCAGATAAAGGATAGGATCCTATTTATTAAAATTAATGACTATATGATTGACTGACTGCAGGTACAAGGAAGAGGGCATTGAGAAATGTCACTTCAGATTGCAAAAGATGCTAAGTGAAACAGAAAAAATAAAGGATGTAGTACAACTAATGGATGATTGCAGTGTAAATATTGGAGAAACGAAGAACCCAAGGCAAAGATGGTTTGAATTGGGTAAAGGTCCAGAGAGTTTTGTAAAGAGAATTTCTTGTTTATTGCTGACACCTGCTTCAAGCCACCTAAACACAGATTCTACTCAAGACATCACCAGACATGCAACATTTGGGATCAAATTGACTACGTAATAGGAAACAGAAGATCGATCAGTGTAATCCAGTCGGCCTGGATACTTACTGGTGCAATGGACTGTGAATGATTGGTGTCAAATATGTGGGTTAAACTTAGAAAAGTGTAAAGAGAGTCAGCTGTGCCAACAAGATTTGACCTCAAGGGCCTAACAGTCAGAATTTCAGATCAAGGTAAGGAACATTTAACATATATAAAAAAGAAGCCCAAAAGTCACGGGGCGAGGTAAAAGTCAGGAAACCAAAACAGTCCCAAAAAAATACACCTCCCTCAAATTTCAGAGAGAGAGAGAGAGAGAAAGCGTCTGTCAGCTGTCATGATGCCCAGCGAAAGACAAAAAGGTTCAAATCTAACACAAAGGAGAAATAAAAGAAATGAATTCAGGCTTCCAGTGCCAACCTGGAAAATCACAAAGGCCCCATCATCAAGAATGTCAACGGATAAAAAGATAAGGAGGCAAATGGGGATTTTATTTAAGGGAGATCAGAGAAATCATCAGGAAGTCTACGCTTAACGTGGGTTGCTCAAGTAATCATGGATGTGATCGAAAAGAGGGAAGTAAAGTCGAAGGGAGATGGAAAGACTGTCCTGAAATCCTTTTAGGCTGGCTCTTTTATGGAGTGACGGAAATTTTGCTAAAAGAAAATGAGGCACCACAGATAATAGACTTGTTGAAGTCACTGTGTAAAATGAGCATTTATTAATATAAAAGAGAGGAAGGTAGGTCGGTAGGTAGATACATAGATGGAGGGAGGGAGGGAGGGAGACAGACAGACAGACAGACAGACACAGGAAAATATTAGGAATAGGCGATGGATGGATGGATGGCAGATACTGATAAATGATAGTGTCAGCATCCTAGCACTGACATATATAAGGACAGGAGAAGCTTGAACTTTTGCCTACTTAATTCCTTTGAAGATTCTGTCTCCTCGGAGATGGGAGGAGGGAGACATTTCTGTGATCTGACGGAGAAGGGATGAGGAAAGTGGCTTGGAAAATAACCAATGAGACGCAGAGAATTGGGGATCAGAAAGGGAGGGATTGGGGGGCAAAGGTCAGTACTGACCGCGAAAGAGCCAGGGACAGATCACTATGCTCAATAAAGAGAAAATTTCCTTAAAGATCGGCAGTTTGGAAATTCCTTTATTTTGAGATAGCATCGAAACCTGACAGATAGATAGATAGACAGATGATAGATACTGATAGAGATAGATAGATAGACAGACAGACAGACAGACAGACAGACAGACAGACAGACAAATAGACAGGCAGGTAGGCAGGAAAATAGCTGGGATAGGCGATGAATGGATGGCAGATACTGATAAATAATAGATAGATAGACAGATGATAGATACTGATAGAGATAGATATGATATGATATGATATGTTATGTTATGATATGATATGATATGATATGATATGATATGATATGATATGATATGATAGACAGACAGACAGAGAGACACAGACTGACAGACAGGTAGACAGGAAAATAGCAGAGATAGGCGAAATACCATTTAGAGAAGAAGGGAGAATTAAAATTCCACCAGGTTCAAGGAATCAGGAATGACACCCAAAGCACCGAGGAATATTAGTGACCAATATTTTTAAAAATATTTTTAAAATATAGTGGCTAAGACGCCTAGCTTGTCAATCGAAAGGTCGGCAGTTCAGCGGTTCGAATCCCTAGTGCTGCGTAACGGGGTGAGCTCCTGTTACTTGTTCCAGCTTCTGCCAACCTAGCAGTTCAAAAGCACGTAAAAAATGCAAGTAGAAAAATAGGAACCACCTTTGGTGGGAAGGTAACAGCGTTCCATGCACTGTTGGTGTTTAACCATGCTGGCCACATGATCACGGAGACATCTTCAGACAGTGCTGGCTCTTGGGCTTTGAAACAGAGATGAGCACTGCCCCCTAGAGTCGGGAACGACTAGCACATCTGTGCGAGGGGAACCTTTACCTTTTTATTTTTTAAAAAATGCAAGCTGGGCTCTATGATCTTTAAATGCGGTCCGGACTATGCAATGGAAGGTCCTCCAGGCTGCTATTAGACATGAAGGCCATGAGAAGGGAGGCAGTTTCAGGACCCCAATTATAGGGAACACGCATGATTTACATTTCTGTACTTTAATCCAAATCAATTCTGAGTTAGATACGTACATACACCGAGACAGAGAGGGAGAGAGAGATATACACATAGTGGGAAGTGGGGACAAATCCAGTGGAAGCTTAATAGGGCAGAAGAAAATAGAGTAATTGGGGTCTCCGGTCTGTGCATTTTTGGAGAGAAATTATTTGAAGAGACAGCCAAGAACTTTGGTGCAGAAAAGGGCCTTTATTTATTTATTTATTTATTTATTTATTTATTTATTTATTTATTTATTGAATTTCTATACCGCCCTTCTCCCGAAGGACTCAGGGCAGTGAACAGATTAAGATTTCATATACATATAATATTTTATATATATATAAACAGTAAATAATAAATTGAGTCAACTTGGTGTATCTGCTAAGATCTTGGCATAGAATTTAGATGTTTATGCTAGCCCTGCTTGTTGAAACAGAAAGGTCTTCAGGGCACGTCGGAAAGTGCGAAGATCTGGGATTATTCGTATTTCAGGGGGTATTTTGTTCCAAAGAGTAGGTGCCCCCACAGAGAAGGCTCTCTCCCTTGGAACTACTAGATGACATTGTTTTAATGATGGTACTATGAGTAGGCCTACTCTGTGAGAGCGTATTGGTTGGTGGGAGGTTATCGGTTGCAGCAGGTAGTCTCGTAAGTACTCAGGTCCTAAGCCATGGAGCACTTTAAAGGTAAGAACCAACACCTTGAAGCGCACTCGGAAGGCCACCGGAAGCCAGTGCAGCTCGCGTAGAAGAGGTGTTACATGTGAGCGCCATGTTGCTCCCATAATTACTCACATGGCCGCATTCTGGACCAGTTGGAGCTTCCAGGTGCACTTCAAGGGGAGCCCCGTGTAGAGAGCATTGCAGTAGTCAAGTCGGGAAATGACAAGGGTTTGCTTAAGGAGACATCTTCTTATCTCCACAGACGTACTTCAACGACAATATTCTCACCCTGATACGGACTTTGGTGACGGGAGGGGCCACGCCAGAACTGGAGTCCCTGATTGCTGAAGAGAATGCACTCCGGGGCGGCTACAGCACCCCCCAGACACTGACCAATAGGGACAGGTGCCGGGTGGCTCAGCTGGCCTTGTTGGATGGACCTTTTGCAGACCTTGGGGTAAGATCTTCACGAGTGAGCCAAAGAAGCTACGGAAGATTGGCCTGCCTGAGACTATCTGCGAGACGGGTTAGGCCGGAGCAACAGATACATTTCGTTTGTTTATATGAATGTGAATCTCGGAGGCTGAACATATTGGATTACTGTAATCCAAAATAAATGGATAACTTAGGGAAGTTGGAAAGTTTGATATATAAAATGTTTCCTCCTCTTCCTGCTTCCCCTCCCCTCCTCCTCCTCCTCCTCCTCCTCCTTCTCTTTCTCTTCTCTACCTTCCCTTCTTCTTCTCCTCCTCCTTCTCTTCTCATCCTCTTCTCTTCTCTTTTCTTCTTCTTCTTCTCCATCTTCCCTTCTCCTCCTTCTTCTCTTCCTCTTCTCCACCCTCCCTCCTCCTTCTCCTTCTGTTCTCCACCTTCCTTCCTCCTCCTCCTTTTTTCCTTCTCTTCTCTTCTTCTCCATCTTCCCTCCTCCTCCCCTTCTCTTTCTCTTCTTTACCTTCCCTTTTCCTCCTCCTCCTCTTATCCTCTTCTCCACCTTCCTTCCTCCTCCTCCTTTCCCTTCTCTTCTATTTTCTTCTTCTTCTCCATCTTCTCCTCCCCTTCTCTTCTCTTCCTCTTCTCCATCTTCCCCCCTCCTCCTCCTTCTCTTCCTCTTCTCCACCTTCCCTCTTCCTCCTTTTCTTGTCCACCTTCCCTCCTCCTCCTCCTCCCTTTTCTCAGAGCAAGGTGGGGCAGTCCTGTCCTATGACGTCATCTCCTCCTTGCTATAATCCAAACTACCTTCATGACAATTGACAACATCAACAAATGAAGCTATTTCCAAGATTAGAACAAGAAAGCCTATGTTGTGTGTTCTTAATCATCCCGAATGGCATTGTTCTTAATTTGTGAAACAGCTGATCTGCGGATCCCAAACTTGGGAGTTCATTTCAAACAAGACTCATTTCATTTCATTTTTCATTTTATTAAATTTGTATACCGCCCTACTCCCGAAGGACTCAATTGGCGTTCCCATTTCCAGCTCTTTGATTGTGCTTAGGGTTGTTGTTGTGCACATATTTATTAGCTGTTCCAAGATTAAACATTTAAATGAGAGAGTTCCTTGAGGAAATTGTCTCTCACTTGCAACGGATTCCCTTAACACTTTCTTTCTTTGGCAAGGAACTACCGATTTAAATTATTTCCCTCATGTTCCGTGTCATAGTGATAACTGAGGTATTGGGTGTGGGTGTGGGTGGGAGAAATGACGTTTCTTTTATGCATTTGTTTGTTTGCTTATTGTTTCCTAGGATGGTGGTTGTTATGGAGATCTATTTTGTAAAGCTTTGAAAACTTACAATATGCTCTGCTTCGGGATATATCGATTAAGAGATTTCAACTCAAGCACGCCTCAATGCACGAAACGGTATGTACAAACTTTGGGGCCTGATCGTTGTTATTTTAAATGTTTCCAACCAGGAAACATTTAAAATACTACTATTTTATGCTACCGGTTTGGACCGGTTCAGGGGAACCGGTAGTTTTAAAAAATGCTACCGGTTCGGGCAAACCAGTATTTCCGACGATCAGCTGTGCCGCGCGGTTTATATTTGCTAGAAAGCAGGAAATCCTGCTTTCTAGCGAATCTAAATCGCGCGGCACAGCTGTTCTACTTACCTTTGCAGACTCAGAAAAGGCTTCTTAATCCCCCTTTTTCAGCACTGTGCGGTAGCACTTGTGGGGCGCATTTGGTGTGCACCGTGCATGCGCGTGAAGCAAACTGGTAGTGAAGCGAACCAGTAGCAGACTTCAGAGCATTTTACCCCTATTTCCAACCATTCATTAGGTGGATTTTTTTTTTTTTACCCAGAAAACAGTTATTCAATAGCTTGTACCCTTGATAGCACCAGATATCTTCTTGCTTTTCCACAGAAATAGATAGAAATAGACAACTGCTTTAAAAACATTCGTGGCTTGATAGGACCTGCAAACCAGAATGTTTAAATTTCCCACAATTCTTTCTCGAGTGAGACATTGAAAGGAAAGGAAGGACAGTTTTCAAGAGCCTGGGGAATGACATGAATTGTAATTTAACCTTATTCCTGGATTTTGTTTTTCTGTTCCTTCAGATCGAAGTGGTGGGATGAATGATAATCCACACAGCCCAATCCATTGTGTTTATTATATATCTGTCATATAGCCAGTGGTGGGATTCAAATTTAACAACTGGTTCTCTGACCTAATGACCAGCTGGGTGGGCGTGGCCATAGTGGGTGTGGCCAGGGGGTGTGACAGGCAGCATTCGGCCTCTTGCACCCCCTTGGGAGCAAGAATGGGCCATGGGGGGGGCGCTGCCTCCCGTGCCCCATTTTGGGCCTAGTAGGCCTCCCTACAGCCTCCTGGAGCAAAAACCGGCTGGGGAGGACCGCGTCGCATCCCCCCATGCCCTGTTTTGGGCTTAGTAGGCCTCCCTGCAGCCTCCTTGGAGCCAAAACAGGACGCATGGGGATTCCTGGAAGGGGCGGGGCTGGGAGGGAAGGGGCCAGCCAGCAATTTAAAAACCGGTTCGCCTGAACTGGCCCGAACCGGCTGAATCCCACCACTGCATATAGCTTGTTGTCGTTGAAGACAATTGTTGAATTTGAGGAAATCTGGCACATGACATTGTCCTGAGTCAAAGGACTGTCTAATCTGTGCACAAAAGCAATTTACCGAGACTCCTCAATTTACAACAGTGCATTTAATGACCGTTCAAAGTTACAACGGCACTGGAAAAAGTGACCCTTTTTCACAAGCGGCCTCCCCATGGTCATGTGATCAAAATTCAGACGCTTGGCAACTGGCTCATATTTATGATGGTTGCTGTGTCCCCCGGGATCATGTGATCCCATTTTGTGATTGTCTGACAAGCAGAGTCAATGGGGAAGCCAGATTCACTTTAACAACCATGCAGCTAACTTAACAACTGCAGTGACTCACTTAACAACTGCGGCAAGAAAAGTGGTGAAATGGGGCAAACTCAGGGTGTTGGTTACCACCTATCAAAGCCCTTTATGACAGAGTCCAGCCATCTCCCCCAAATAGGTTGGTCCATCCCATTTGCTCCAGCAGGAAAGGCCTACTTCGGATCCTGTCTGCCAAAAGAACTTTGAGTCTCCTGCTGGAGGCAAGAGCCGCCCTGGCAATCTTGGCCTTCTGGAAGAGCCTAAAGCTTGCTTCTGCTGGTTGGCCTGGACCCCAATAGGTGGGTGGCGGCTGACGGAGTAGAGAGAAGATTTCCCACTGCCCTGTTGCCTCTCCTCTTGGTTTTTATGTAATTTTCCTAATTTTAAGTGTTTTGTATTATCTTTTTAAACTTTTTATTATTCTATGAACTGCCCAGTCGCTGCAACAGTGAGAAGGGCAGAGGAAGGAAGGAAGGAAGGAAGGAAGGAAGGAAGGAAGGAAGGAAGGGAGGGAGGGAGGGACAGATAGAGACAGAAGGAAGGGAGAGAAAGAAAGAAACAAAGAAACAAAAGGAAGAAAGGAAGGAAGGAAGGGTCAGATAGAGACAGAAGGAAGGGAGGGAGGGAGGGAGAAAGAAAGAGAGAGAGGAAGGAAGGAAGGGACAGAGACAGAAGGAAGGAAGGAAGGAAAGGAAGGAAGGAAGGAAGGAAGGAAGGAAGGAAGGAAGGAAGGGACAGATAGAGACAGAAGGGAGGGAGAAAGAAAGAAAGAAAGAAAGAAAGAAAGAAAGAAAGAAAGAAAGAAAGAAAGAATTCATATACAGCTGAGAACCAATAAAGCTAATGAATGGGAAGTATAACAGAATAACAAACAGAATATCAGAATTACAGAATAATGGAGCTGGAGAAATAAATTTCTCTTCTTGAAAGCCTCCAGTGAGGGAGCCTCCACAACTTCTGGAGGCAAAAGCCGTTCCGCTGATCAAGTGTTCTCACGGACAGGAAATTTCTCCTTCCTTCTAGGTTGGATTCCTCTTTGAATAAACTTCCATCCATTACTTCTTGTGGTTTTTTTTTTTCTTTTCTTTTCTTTTTCCAGTTTTGTTATAGCCAACCCACCTTATGATTTCGAGCTGGTGCCGACGGACTGGATCTTCTGCTTGATGCAGTACGACCACAACGCCGGCCAGTCTCGGGCGAGTCTCTCTCACTCTTCCCACTCTTCTTATGCATCTAGCAAGAAAAGCTCTTCGGTCCATTCTCTGCCAGCTACGGCGAATCGACAGAACCGCCCAAAGTCCAGAGACTCCCGGGAAAAGCAGAAGTACGTGCAAGAAGATAGACTTTGATTCATGTGTCTCCTCTCCCTGTGTGTGAAACTGTATCCGCCACTCATTCTTTCCTAATTGGTGTGTCCAATAATTTGCTTCCCCTGTTCTCCTCGGCTTTCCCCCATGGACACCCACCCACCCCATTTTATACACATATTTGGCATACGTATGACAGTGTGCATGCGGTTGTCATTTTTATTTTTCGATGCCATGAAACCCTTTTAAGCACAACAGCGACCGAGCAGACGGACCAAAACCTCATTTATGATGCAGAGCGGATTGATTAAAGAGCGAATTGCTAAATAGCACAGCAATTTTGACACTCTAGTGAGATAACTGATTTTTGGGGTTGTTTTTTTTTTTTAAAGAAGTCAACTCCAGAAATAAACTTACCTAAGGTAAGAGTAAGAGATGCGGTGGCTCAGTGGCTAAGACGCTGAGCTTGTCGATCAGAAAGGTCGGCAGTTCAGCGGTTCGAATCCCTAGCGCCGCGTAACGGAGTGAGCTTCCGTTACTTGTCCCAGCTTCTGCCAACCTAACAGTTCGAAAGCACGTAAAAAATGCAAGTAGAAAAATAGGGACCACTTTTAGTGGGAAGGTAACAGCGCTTCCGTGCACCTTTGGCATTTAGTCATGCCGGCCACATGACCACGGAGACGTCTTCGGACAGCGCTGGCTCTTCAGCTTAGAAACAGAGATGAGCAACGCCCCCTAGAGTCGGGAACGACTAACACACATATGCGGGGGAACCTTTACCTTTAATTTTAAGGTAAGAGTTGGAATGGGGAGAGAGAGAGAGAGAGACTTCACAATCACACACTTGAAGTCAGGATTCTCCCACCGGAATAATTTTGCAAGCATCAGTGAACCCTACCAGGGAGATGAGAAAATTCAATCTCTTGGACTGCAGATAGCATGTGTCTTGCACGCCGTTGTTGTTGTTGTTTCCCCATAATCATACACACATGCTGTTACACTAAAGCAACATTAGCTTTATCACAGTGCCTTCTTCCCTTTAATACCCATCTGCCATAAAAATGGTCAGGGATGTCATTTTTCCCATTGTATTGATTTAACCTCCCCTTTTTTTTAAAGATTTTTTTTTAAAATCTGCTTGCATATTAAGTCCCGTCTAGCCTAGCACACGAATAACTATATTTTCTCTCCCTTTTTGACATCCGGGATGAAGTGCCACACATATTTCATAAATATTGAATGCAAATTCTTTAGGATATTCCTTCCTGAGACTTTGGACTTCTAATAAAAGGTGAATTTGTCACCTGGTGTACAAAATAGGTGAGGTAAAAGCTTCTTCACGTAGCAAAGGAGCATACGTAGAATATTCAACTCAGAGCGGAAAAGTTTTCCTTAATTCAGGCATCATTGGATGGATTTTTTTCTCTCTCCCTGTTTGGAGATTTTTAATTTAGTGCTGTCAATACCTCAAGAAAGACACACACCTTGAAGAAAAGGTGGGATCAGGCCAGAGGTGGGTTTCAGCAGGTTCTGACCAGTTCTGGAGAACCGGAAGTGGAAATTTTGACTGGCCCCACCCCCATCTGTTCTCTGCCTCCCAAGTCCCAGCTGATCGGGAGGAAATGGGGATTTTGCAGTAACCTTCCCCTGGAGTAGGGAGGGAATGGAGATTTTATAGTATCCTTCCCCTGCCATGCCCACCAAGCCATGCCATGCCCACCAAGCCACAGCCACAAAACCGGTAGTAAAAAATTTTGAAACCCACCACTGGAACAGGCCTTAGCTAATAGACTTGGCAAGACTGTTTGCCCGTGAAATTTACAGGTAGTCCTCAACTTACAACAGTTCATTTAGCGACTATTCGAAGTTACAAGGGCACTGAAAAAAAAGTGACTTATGACCGTTCTTCACACTTACGACACTTTGTGGCATCCCCACAATCATGTGATCAAAATTCAGATGTTTGGCAACTTACTTATGACCATTGCTGTGTCCCAAAAGCATGTTGATCCCCTATGGGTGATCCTTCTGACAAGCAAAAACGATTGGGGAAGCCAGATTCACTTAACAGCCATGCTACTAACCTATCAACTGCAGTGATTCACTGAGCAACGGTGGCAGGGAAAGATCGTAAAATGGGGCAAAGCCCACTTGAAGAATGTCTCGCTTAACAACAGAAGTTTTGGGCTCACTTGTGGCCGTAAATCGAGGATTACCTGTTCCAGCTGATTTTAAAAGATTAAAAAGAACTGTTCTGTCCCCGTACCACACACGCACCCCCACAGACGGCCCGGAGTTAATAAGCCACACGATAAAACTCTTTGAAGATAAAGCTGGCAGCAACCCAGTGGCTAGCTGCCAATTCAGACTTTACTCACACAAAACAAAGATTAGATTGCAAGCATTCCGATAAAATAGGCAGAGTTTCAACAATACAAGGATTAATCCAAATGCAGTACGATAAAGCAGGCAAAGTCCAGTAACGCAGAGATCATGGATTATTTCCAGTTTTTGCTCGTCACAAACTGAACCGGCCACAACACCCACATTTATACCCTGTGGGGTGTGGTCCAGTGACTCAGCTAATCTTTGGCACGCCTTCCCCTCTGCTGCGCACGCTTCTCCCTGCGCCTCTGCCGAGGGTCCAGCCAGCACTTATCTTCTTCGTCGCTGTCCACCTGTGGCTGCGGGGACGTGCTTGGCTCTGAGCCTATCTTTTGGCCTTTGGAGTCCTCCGGAGGCATTGCCAGAGAGGAGGGTCCTGGAGAGGGAGGCCTTGCCAACTCCTCTCCCTCACTCTCAGAGTCTGCATCTGTCGATAGCCCAGGCTCAGGCAATGGAGCCACAACAAGAACCCACCAAACAGGTTGCCTTATGTGTCTTCACTTTGGTGAAGATTTGCCAAATCTCCCTTCCTTATTGAGTGTTTAAACTAAGTGTTAAATTCAACACTCCTTATGAGTGTTTCCAAACACAGGAGCATCTCTGAGTTTTGGATCCATGCTGAAGATTTGTTTCTCTCTTTCACTCAAAAAGAATTCCCTTCCAGAACAATAGGTGTCCATATGTAATCATAGGGTAGTTGTTTTCTTGCAGACATGAAAATGTTACCTATTTGGGTAATGAAACATCTTCAAGTTCAAGTAACCAAGTTCGGAGAGCACCCAGAACCCCACAGTCCTCCTTCTCCTTCTCCACTACCACCACCTCCTCCTCCTCCTTCTCGTCTTCTCCTTCCTCTGGTCCACAACCCCATTCCCTTCTATTTCTGATAGTGCTACCTAGTTGGGTAATGAAACATCTACAAGAAAATCACCAAGTTCAGAGAACACCAAGGATCCCACAGTCGTCGTCCTCCCCCTCCTCCTCCTCCTCCTCCTCCTCCTCCTCCTCCTCCTCCTCCTCCTCCTCCTCCTCCTCTTCACAAACCCATTCCCTTCTATCACTGATGATGTTACCTAATTGGGTAATGAAACATCTACAAGAAAGCCACCAAGTTCAGAGAACACCAAGGATCCCACAGTCCTCCTCCTCCTCCTGTTCACAAACCCATCCCCTTCTGTCACTGATGATGTTACCTAGTTGGGTAATGAAACATCTACAAGAAAGCCACCAAGTTGAGAGAGCAGCAGGAACCCCAGAGTTCAGCTCTGAGCTACAAATCTTCTCTTCTATCGGAATCATAGCATATTTTTCTTAATAGGGCCCCTAGCATTCATTCTGCCAGCCCTCTTGATCTCATACCTCTGGAGGTTGGTGATGCTTCGTAGCTTGCTCCTTACTTGCCAGTTAATCTGGCTTGCATTATTGGCGGCGTGTACATGCGCAAAACAACACTGCTGCATAATCCTTCCCTGTTGCCACAGGCATATTTACAGGCCACATGGCATATGTTCCATTTATTTAAAAAAAAAAAAATTTTTTTTTGAGGCTGTCTTAGTCTTTAGTCTTGCAATATGCTGATAACTGCCATTGCAATCCATTTATTGATGACTTGTAGGCATGGACTCCAAACTGAACGTTGAAGAGGTTACGTTTCTAAGCCATCCGCGCTGCACTTTGAAATTCTGTACCCCTTTTTTAACCCCCATCAGTGCAGAAGGCGAATCCCTTACAATTCTACCATTCCTTCCCTCCCTTTTTTTCCCCTTTTGGTAGAAAGAGCTAGTAGTTTGTCTCGCATGTGTTCTGTGTTTTAGAAAGTTGTATATTGGGGCTAGGAAGAGTTGCTAGCTACTGTAGGCCTCCCCTTTCCCTTCTGCTTCTCCCAAAAGCATGTGGGTGATTAAAGCTTGCTGTGTGAATTGACAAGCACTTTTACTGACCGCCTCTGGTTTAATCGCAATGAGATACAATCACACAAATGCTTCTTCTTTTTGACGATTTGGGAGATGCGATTGCTGGAAATATTCTTTCTCTCCTTGGAAGCATTTCTATTCCAGTCCCAACTGGAAAGCAATATTGCAGTCCTCTTCTACCAATCTTAAATTAATGCACTTGTGTGTTATATACCGTGTTTCCCCGAAAATAAAACCCTGTCTTATATTTTTTTGAATCCCGAAATAAGTGCTTGGCCTTAATTTTGGGAAGGTCTTATTATTTTGAGGCACGTGGAGCCATCTTACCTGATTTCCAGGTCTGTCTCCCCAACCCTAACCAGAGGAAATGGTGGGGACCAGCTGCACATGCATTTAAATATTTTTGTGGAGGGCTTATTTTTGGGGGAGGGTTAATTTTCAGGGAGGGCTTATTATCCAGGGAGAATAATATTTTAGGGGAAACACGGTATATGTACATTTTTCTTTGGAAAAGAACTGCCCCTCCCACCCCCCACACCGGCTTTGCCATGGGGCACTTTCTCAGAGACTACCAAGGATGTGCCAGTTAAAGTGCTCCGTGGGACATGTGACAGTTTAAATGCCTTTTGAAAACTTACGTAGCTTATATACTTCTCTTCCTAAAGTGCCACAAGGATGAATAGGATGGGTCAAGGTATGATCACCGCTGGTTCTGCATGAGCTAGACAATCGCTATGGGGTTTATTTTTTTCCCCTTCTCCAACTTTGTCCTTGTGAAAACTTGTGACACATTAAAGACCACCTTACCAACCTCAATTCAGTTTTGATTTGTATTTTTTGTTTGTTTGTTTGTTTACTTCTCTTTTGGTTTCCTTCTTCGTTTTTGGGTTTGTTGCTGCTTTTCTTTTTCTGCCTTATTTCTAAACGTAGAGAAAACTAGCTTACCTGCTGCTGTTATTCAGTTCTTTTATATATATATATAGATATACTGTATATATAATCCCTTTTGTTTCTAAACGTTTTCATCCGCTTGCACTTCCAGCTGCACTTGTCTTTGTACTAGCTATTTAGACGATGGGTAAAATTGTGTCCCCCTGATTCCATCTTTGTCCTGTCTGTTTCTCCTTTCCTGTCCCTATATATCTCCACCGCCAGCCATCTTCCCTTTCCTATTGATGAAATTGATGTGAAATTATGCTAGTTCTTCCAGTTTGGCCCCTTGACCTGTTTTTTTTCCTCCCTGCGAATGCTTTATCCTGTTTCTGCCAACTAAGGAAGCGAGTGTTCGTATGAAAGCGCTTTCCATGTGCATTTGAGAACCGAAAAGTGCACCAGGGGGAAAAAAGTCCATAATGGGCTCAAAATGGAGATGATCACGGCTAATCTGTTGGTTTGGGAAGGCTGATGGACCAGAAATTATCCTCTGTGAAGCCAAATTCTCAATGAGAAAGAAGGTTAAATGGGGGTTCTCGGGTCTCAATCCAGCAAACACAATTCTAGTTTAGAAGTCCAGATTAATCCCACTTCTGGGTGCTGATTGGTTCCCTAAACCATCTTGAACGACGCCTTCTGGTGTACTTGTCTGAATGCAGAGACATACTGTAAGAAGAATAATTTGGGCTTCCAGGGTTGCTCAAGGACAAATCAACATGAAATCCAGACAGCTGTGAGAAATAGAGATTTTATTGATTCCCCAAAACAGAGCTTTGCCCGTGGGGGTAGCTAACAGAGAAAATGGGGTACAGTTAAATTGTTTTATACGGGGGGTCTGGTTCTTGCTGTGGACATGAGGGGCGTGAATGTGAATGCATGATGGTTCTAGTGTATGACACTTGAGGAGTGTGATTATATGTAGGTGTTGATCCGGAGAAAGGATTGATTAAGATGCAGACTCTTTGAACTGTGAGCATTATAATTATGTTTACATTGTTTACATTAATTGAGCATTATAATTATGTTTACATTGTTTACATTAATTGAGTTCTGTGTGTTTACAGTTTGAAGTCAGTGTTTCATTCATTCTTATGTTTGCTGTGAGTTTAAGGGATTTTGTTATTATCGTTTGATGGAGGCTCTGGGCAACATTTGCATCTTGGTTTCATTAATCGGTAATGTTGTTGGAGACCTGGGTTAGTTAATGTAGGATTCCCTATGCAGTATTTCTAACACCATTTTATATACGTTTATAATTTCTTCCCACAATACGCTCTCATTCATGACGCATCAGATGCCCCACAACACTCATGCGCCAATAAGACATCACAAAGCTTAATTTCTGGGTCAGCTGAGATTAAGGAAACCCCTAGAACAGGGGTGTCAAACTCGATTTCATTGTGAGGGCCTCATGTTTTGTGTTTGACTTCGGGGGACTGGAATGGGCATGGCTGGCTCAACGTCACTCCTGTCAGGGGCACCTGTTGTGGCCCAAGTGCTCTGCCAGTGAAAACAGGCTCCCGAGCTCCGTTTTCAGCTGCCATGGCCTCTTGCAACCCTCTGCCAGTGAAAACGGAGCTCACGAGGGCTGTGTGCTGTTGTGACCCAAGCCCAAGTAGGTAGTAATTGATGCAAACAGTTCCAAAACAAACAGACTTTATTAGAACAACTGAGAATTAACTCATTCTCAGCGTAGTCCAAACTAAATTAAAACAAATTCTTCATAAGACAAATTCTTCAGTCTAATCACCAACCTTGGTATAATTAGGCAAACTGCCAAAGGCTTCTCTTGGCAAAAGTTCAGAAGCAGAAGACACTGACAAGAGATAAGTGCAGCAAGACAAGAACAACGTTGTTTTCCGACAAAGAGCCCAAGAGCCATTGCTGGTCTTTTAAGCCTTATGGGAGGGGCCAATCATCTCTTGGCCCTACTCCCAAGTCGTCCTCTTTGCTTTAGCTGCTCTTGCCTTCTGGCAGCTCTTCTCATATGGGCTTATTTTCAGGGGGAGGCTTATTTTAGCTCATGCGCTCAAAAGCCCAATTGGGCTTATTATCAGGGGAGGTCTTATTTTCGGTGAAACAGGGTATTTAGGCTTTTGCCTCAAGCAACACTCAAGTCAATCTCAGAGAAAGGCCTCTTCCAAAGGATTTCAGAACAAGATTGACAAGATCAGCAAAATTGTTTTGGTTTTTTTCCCCCTGAAAATTATGACCACCTGCCTCTTCCCTCAAGATTAGTACCAATGAAACCAGCTGGTGTAGCAGCAAAGCATACACATGAATGTCTCTGTACTATGACTCCATTTTAAAACCTTAATCCAGAACCTGAAGGGACATTTATGGAAAGGAAGAACCAGATTCTACCTACTTCCTACTTCAGACATTTTTAAAACAGGGACACCTATATGACATAGGTTGTTTCCTTCTTCAGGCTTACTCATATTTATTTAATTTATATTTGATCTTTCATTCAGGAGGTCCAAGTTCTCTTTTCTCCTATTTTTCCAAGCTCAGTTGGTTGGGCTGAAAGGTAGTTTGAGTTTTCAGGATTAGGAATGAATGCAATTTGGGGTGTCTTCCTATTAATCTAAAAACTTTCATCGCTTCCCAGATTCCCAGATATCTGATCCAAGGTCTCCTTTATGTAAAGCAAAGCATTTAAGACAACAGTTCTGGCAAAACGCCAGCCCGATAAAAGAAACGGAGATTCGAGCTATGCTTATTTCAGTTTCTTTCTTTCATTTTAAATTACAAAGCCGCTGAAAAGCGTTTGTGTGAACACACAAGGCTTGTAAAACAGCCGAACTGTCACCTTTTGAACACATCTCGGAAAAGCTAGCTTAACCGTAACTCATGCGAAATTGGTTTCCACAAATGCATAATGGTTGGTGCGTCATACTTGAACTAAATGCTTTTTAAATGGAGCTGAAATTATTTCTGAAGTGTGCAGTTTTTCTGGAATATATTCTCCCCTCCCCTCTCGCAACCTTGCTTCCTTCCCAAGCCTCATGAACTATTCAAATGTTCTGATGACTTTAAAAGATATATGGCTGTATATGTGTAAAAAAAAAAAAACCAAAAAACCAACAACCTTGTTTGACCAAAAAAAAAAAAAATAGATAAATGAATATAGAATCTGCCAAGCTGTAGATCATCTTAGAACAGACTGTAACTTTTATCATTTTGTCAGGAAGAATAATTTAAGGCACTTAGTTAGCAGGATTTTCACGTGATGGAATTCCTATCGGCCAATCTGTTCAATTCAGAGCAAACTTAATTAGAGACCAAGGAATTTAGGAGCACCTGCATTTGCGATGGAAAGGAACACAGAGAAGTAAAGACGTCCGCGAGCAAAATAAAATGACTGGTAACGAAACGCACAGGGTTTAAAAAAAAAAAAACCTCTACGTGTCATTTAAATTTCTCACTTATGTAGCTTGATGAAAACCTTGCAGAAGTTAACAGCCAGTTCTGGTTACAAAGTCAGTCAATATGTCACCACACCCAGGAATGATTTCTGTAAATGTCAGGCAGATTAAATCACTGGATTGGCTGCCACCCCGACTGTTTCTTCCACAACAATGTCTTGGGTAAAAGCCGCAAAGGTGTTCCTTTCTAAGCAATTTCAGCTGAGGCTGAAAAAAATGGCCCCTTATGGTTAGAGAAGTTGGTTCGTCAGCGACGGAATGCTGGTGATGATGCTGGCAACATATTGAAAGCCAAAGCAAATGGCCCAACTCAAATTTTCCTCTCCCACCCAAAGGATATCTTTTTCATTGATCTGAGTCAATGAAAATTGGCTCGGGTTTTTTTTTTCCCCTTTCCCCATTCTATCTCTTTTGACTGATTTTGTTGTTGTTGTTGTTGTTGTTTGCTTCCAGGCATGGGGAAAGCCAGCTAATTCCTGGTTCTCTATCATTTGTCCGTGTGTTAATCAGAAAATCTGTTCCAATCTCTGTGTTACAATTAATGTTTGGGATGGAGTTTTGGGGTGCTGGTGGTGTAAATTCTCATCATGCATGTAGATAGGCATTCCTACACACACACACACACACACACACACACACAGAGAGAGAGAGAGAGAGAGAGAGAGAGAGACAGACAGACAGACAGACAAACAGATAAACAAACAGACAGACGCACACACACAAATATATATGTATACTAAAACAGAACAGGAAGAGAAGAGAATAGAATAGAATAGAATAGAATAGAATAGAATAGAATATGGAATATGGAATATGGAATATGGAATATGGAATATGGAATATGGAATATGAATAGAATAGAATATGGAATAATAGAATAGAATAGAATAGAATAGAATAGAATAGAATAGAATAGAATAGAATATAGAATAAGAATAGAGTAGAGTAGTGTAGAGTAGAGTAGAATAAATGAGAGGAGAGGAGAGGAGAGGAGAGGAGAGGAGAGGAGAGAATATGGAATTGGGATGGGATAGGATAGGATAGGATAGGATATGTTCATTGCCTTGAGTTATCTGTAAAAATAATAAAGGCAGGATGCAAATAAATAAATATGTATGGTCCACTACATGCTAAGGAATGCAGTTCGATACTGCTGAAGCATAGCTTTCCATGGCCATTTCCCAAAAACCCCATGCGTGGTTTTGGGTTTTTTTTTTTTTCCTTTCTGATGAGAGCACAGCCATGGTCACCAAATGGCCATTTTCAAATGTTGCCAGGATCAACAACTATACTTCAGCCATTCAAGGACATCAAATAACCGAATCCTCCCGCCACTGAGTAAAATAAAAGAAGACAATATTCAGCAATATCAAAAATCCCCAAAGAGCTCATTTCTTTTCAGGGAAAATTTTAAGCGCAACAAATGCATTCCTGTCCTAATCTCAACCCTGTAGCCCTTTCCTCATCCTTTAAGAGGCTCACATTTCCAGAAGTTGGTCACTTTCCATAAATAAGTCAGCCTCCTGCCCGCTCTTTTTTTAACTCTTTGCCTTAAAGCCAGCAAGCTTTTCACCCTTTCATCTAATCAATGTTCTCAGGTTTTATAAAACCTACCACCCTTCAATGCTAGTTCATTAGTCAAAGTCGCTTCCTCTTTGATTGCTTTGAAATACCTCGCAACAGAGCCTAAAATGCACTTATCTCAACTGCTTTTGGCATGGCACTAATGACGCTTCTCCTTTTCCTCTTTCCTCCTTCCTTGTTTCTTTCCCTCTCCCTCTCTCCCTCCCTCTCTCTCTCTATCTCTCTCTCTGTCTGTCTCTCTCTTTCTTCCCATGTTTCTACTCTTTAGCAGAAAAGAAATGGTTTACAGATGAATCGGAAAACGCCTACCCCAGAAACATTCAAATCAAGCCCATGACCACCCACGTGGCCAATCATATCAATCAATATAAATCTACAAGCAGCTTGATTCCACCAATCAGAGAAGTCGAAGATGAATGTTGACTCCCAGGACAGGACAATGTGTGTGTTTTTTTAATAAAAAATAATAATAAAAAAGAGAGAGAGAGAAAAAAGGACCTGACGGACTTCATGAATGGTGATATAACATTTATTCCTCTTTCATGCTGAACCTTTGGTGGGAAAAGTGAACAAAAATCAAGGGTTTGCCGGAAAGTACAGTAGACAGATTTTTTTTGTTTGTCTGCCTTTAATATTTGCTTCCATGTATTTTGGAAACTATTTCATTTATATATGAACATAATAAAAACAGTCATGTATAGTCTCTAGCATTTTAAATTATTTTTATTTATTAGAAAGAAGATATATTATGAATATATTTCTTTATTCATTGTCAAGTATTTTCCCTTGAAACAGAACAGCTGCAGATTGTGGCCGGACTCCCCAAAATTTTATATATATATATATATATATATAATATATATATATATATAAATAAATAAAAAGAAGGAAGAAAGAAAGAATTCTATATTCCTGCTCCTTTCTGTCCCTTTCAGGAGAATGATGGTCACAAATTGAGGCAAAAATGTAATTAAGAGAGAGAGAAATAATGTATTTTAAACCAGTCCACTTGTATTTTAGTAAATCAAAGAAGAAGAAAAACAAAAGAAGAGTTTACTAGAATGTTTCTTTTCTGGAAGACATGTATTTTGTTTAGCATTGATACCAGCTCTTAATAAACTAAAGCTTATTTATTTTGGAAAAAAAAAAGTGGAAACGTCCTATTTTTATAGAAAGAATATTATTCTGGAATTATGAATCTTTAAAGACAAGCCTCCCACTCTGGTGCCCTCCAAATGTTCCCTCACAGTGGAAGACACTGGAAAATGGCTTTCTTATCATTATAGGGCTCACAGATGTTCATAATGGAGTCTTCCAATCAAATAATTGTGTTACGGGGCATTCAGACCATGAGTTTTATGAAAAAATATATATAAATGCAGCATTTGAATGGTCTTCCCAACGTGCTTTTTCCAAAAGGCAATTGGACTTCCTTGTCTTTTTTTTCCTTGTAAACATTTTTGCTTCTCATCCAAGAAGCTTCTTCAGTTTCTGTTGAGTTCAGGTCAGAACTGAAGAAGCTTCTTGGATGAGGAGTGAAATGTTTTCAAGGAAGAAAAAAAAACTTAAGAAAGTCCAACTGTCTTTCGAAAAAGCACTTTGGGACAACCATGACCTGGACGATCGAGAATCTCCATAGACATTTGAATGGTCTCTGTTTCTTTCCAGAAACCTGTAGAAATGTCTTTCTGTAGGTTTCTGGTGAGTATTTATCAGAAGATCTCAAGATGAAGAGGGGGTTAACTGTGACAATTGAAAATTTCTCCAACAAGCTTCAGAAAGCATTCGCAGCCCAATCATATATCTAAAAAGTTAACCTTGTCGTTTGACAATGAGGCTTTACAGAATGATTTATATTGATCTAGGAAGAAAACTTGAGGTTGGCTATACACCCTGAAAAGTGACAAAATCCATGCCGATAATTCAGTGGTGTTTTGTGTTGATAATGTAGATTCCAGCTTCTCAGTCATAATCCACGCAGGTGTTAATCAAGCTCTAACTGTGATGCACTACACTATGATCCAGACATGGCTTACGCTAAGATACAGCCTAACCTAATTTCTGACTATATTTTGTTTAAAAAAAGTTAGAAATCAACTATTTAATTTCCAAGCGTTTTGAAACTCTGTCCATTACAGTGGCATCAAATGAAGCATAATAAGCATAATAATAATAATAATAATAAAGGACTATACTTAATGTCAGAAACACAAAGCATTTAGAAAAGGCTTACTACACCTCAGAGCTTTTCTTCCTCAAAATGGTGGACGGCCTCTCTAGCCATTAGACAAAATTGTGGCGTCTCATATCTGTATTGCAAAACATAGTTACTCCAGCATTTGAGGCTGTAAATAATTCAGCGACTCTCTCTCTCTCCAGTTTAAATTATGTACTACTGACCTGGATCCAACTAGACAGGCGAGTCCTTGAAGGAAATGGCTACAATCAGGCGGAGGTCAAAAAAATGACGCCAGGTCACAGCTACACGAGCTAGTGTTAAGCTTTGTAATTGTGCAAAGTGTAAACTTCCTGAGATTTTAAGCATTCTGTGCTATTGTTATCATTAGAGTAATATCAGTGAATCAGATCAGCACTGTATGATCCAGTACCTTAACCTAAAAATTACTTCAGCTTTAATGTTGGTCTACTAGTTGCAAGACAAATATATTCTTATTTTGTCCTAATAGGTTGAATTTCCAGAGTGGCTCCTTCAACCCGTGACTACTCTGTCGTTAGGTTTTGCAGAATTATTTATTCAAATGTACAAACAAACAAGACCAGTGAATACAATGTATGGAGAATTGAACTGTTTGATCAAAAGGACTTGGTGACATCCCTTTTTCCTGGAAAAAAAAAAAATCAGCAATGAGATGCAGTTTTCTTTAGCCATATCATAAGACCCATGTGGAGAAATCTTACCGCTGTAAAAATATGGGCAACCGGCCTTCTGGTTTTTGCTCTAGGTGTGTTTTCACACGATGGATGTGTGAACAGGCAGTTGTGGGACAGGCCATGGATGGTGTTAGTTTCTGTACTCCTTTTTCGTCCATGAACTGAAAGATGATAAAATTATAACCTGCTTTGATAGAATAATAGACTTGGATGTTTAGAATATTGGCTCTGGGAGCACAGCGTCGAAAATCAATCAAAAGAAGCACCTTTAAAAGGCAGAGGGTTGTCATATATATATTTAAAAAGATTATTATTTGTTGAATTTATATAGCCACCCTTCTCATATATGTGTGTCTCTGGGCAACTCAGGCAATCAAAATAGCCAAAAGCAAAACATTATCCAAACAATGACAACACACAGTCGCCCCCCATCTCTCTCTTTCGCTCACTCTCGTTTTGGACATGAAAGTTAAAACATGGCACTTGAGTCATAATGACCGCACTCGCCAATCCACAATACAGATGTACGAAGTTTTCGATTCAGTTACATCAGTACAGCTAAAAATACCCCTGGTCCCAAAAAAAGAGGGCAGGCTAGAACGATAGCAGCAGTTTCTTGGCTAAAAGCCAAGTTTTCTAAACTTTGGTCATAGTTCTGAAGAACTTAATGTGGTTAGGGATAGGAAGGTACGGAATTTCTCCCAATTCTGTGACCGGAGAAGAAATAAAATAAATGTTGGGTGAATTGAGCGTTGCTTAATGCCAAGATTGGCTTGTCTAAGCAATGTAACTGTAAGACTTATGGCCCTGGGTACCCCCCACTCCCCACCCATTCAAGGTTGAGCCAATTCAGAGTTACATTCACTTGCAATCTGCATAATCACTATAGCATTTCTCTCCCCCCCCCCGATTCCATAAGAATCTCTTCAGCTGTGATTGGAGATGTATGCTTCACAATTGTTGGAGGTGGGTGGGAAATTTGTTGGACTTACCGTTCTGTTTCGTACAAAGCAATCTTCATATCTTGCCTCTTTAAGGGGTCCTTGGCGCCCTCTGAGCTTGGTTGTTTTCCTGCAGACCTTTCATTGCCTAAACTAGGTAACGTCATCAGGACTAGCACTGATGATGTTACCTAGCTGGGTAATACAACGTCTGCAAGAAAACAACCAAGCTCAGAGAGCACCGGACGCTCCTCATTTTAACTTTGAACTATAAATATTCTTCTTTTTTGGCACATGACATTTCTTTCTTTTCCCCATAATTATCAGTCCCACACAAAATCCTTTATCTCTGTATTTGTCTTCACTATCATCTCACCCAGGCAATGTTGCATTAAGTCAGAAATAGGTCCAGTACAAATGGTAAAGGGACGCGGTGGCTAAGACGCTGAGCTTGTCGATCGAAAGGTCGGCAGTTCAGCGGTTCGAATCCCTAGTGCCGCGTAACGGGGTGAGCTCCCATTACTTGTCCCAGCTTCTGCCAACCTAGCAGTTCGAAAGCAAGTAAAAAATGCAAGTAGAAAAATAGGGACCACTTTTGGTGGGAAGATAACAGCGTTCCGTGCGTCTTTGGCATTTAGTCATGCTGGCCCCATGACCACGGAGACGTCTTCGGACAGCACTGGCTCTTCGGCTTTGAAATGGAGATGAGCACCGCCCCCTAAAGTCAGGAACGACTAGCACATATGAGGGGAACTTTTACCTTTACCTTACAAATGGTAAAAAAAGACTAATAATGTGATAAAACGGAGAAGAGATGCAGTACAAAGTGTGTTACTGGTCTGGCATCTTAGGTTCCCTCCTTTTTGGAAAGTTATGTTTTATGAACGTTTACCGAAGTAAGTTGGGAATTTTGCATGAGAAAGAAAAAAGAAATGTGTGGATGGCTCATTTCTTCATTTTGTAATATATGTACTTATTACATCTATATTTGATAGAATTCATGAGTGGTTTTTGCAGATCTCACAGATGTATGTCATTTTAGTCATTAATTTTGCCTTTTTCATTGGGATGAGGGAGAGCTTTATTAGGTACGGGTAGTCCTCAACTTACGACCACAATTGAGCCCAAAACGTATGTGACTAAGTGAGTTTTGCCCCATTTTACTATCTTCCTTGCCGCAGTTGTTAAGTGAACCATTGCAGTGGTTAAATTAGTAACATGGTTGTTAAGTGAATCTGCCTTCCCCACTGACTTTGCTTGTCAGAAAGTTGCAAAAGGGGATCACATGAGCCCGGGACACCATCGCAAATATGAACCAGCTGATAAGCACCTGAATTTTGATCACATGACCATGAGGATGCTGCAATGGTCATAAAGTGTGAAAAACAGCCGTTAAGTCACTTCTGTCAGCGCCATTGTAACTTTGAACGGTCACCAAACACGTGGTTGTAAGTCGAGGACTACCAGTAATCCTTTTGTGCTCTCAAGTTTATTTATCCCTAATTTTGGGGGAGGTGTTCCCCGCACATCCTTGCTTTCATGCCTTTTAGAGTCTGTAACTTTGATGGAAAGTATTTCGCTGCATTATCCGATTCTGCTTTATTTTAAGAGATTGGGATCGGGTGGCACACATTAAACCGCTAAATAAATAAGTTCAGACGAGAGCTGGAAATCTTTCAGGAATGTGAGATCTGGGAGGGTGTGCAGTGAACTGAACGCAGGTGTCACCTTGTAATAAAATTTGATGAGAGACAGCTAAGGAGAAGTAAAAGTCCATTCCACCGTGCCTTTAAATTAGTCAAAATGTCAGAAACTTACAACCTGCATTTCCATCATGTTGAAGTGCTAGAAGAAAAGTGTCAAAGGCTTG